TCCCTTCCGACCCTAGAAACTATGAAACTATGAAAATGTAGAGCTTTTTCCTGCCTGCAGCCTCAGGGGGAAAGCCTCATTTTATATTTGAGTAAATACGGTATATTTACTCAACGCTGAAAGAACTGTCAGGTAGATTCTGTGGTAAAAACCTTCAAAAAGACCCATCATTAAGAGAGTTGGATTTTAACGGTGCTCTCATTAAAAAATTATTAAGAGTGTTTTTGCAATTTACTTGGTCCTGAAATAGTTCATTCTTCCTCTTTAGAAAGGCCGTAGGCAGGGTACCCTAAAAGCAATTTTCTTTTGTTTTGGTCATTTTGCCTCTGCACTTGCTTTGCTCCTCTTTATTTTCTCTGTCAACTGCCTGGTTTAATGGGTGTAGAGCCAGCCGATCCTTGGCTGTGGTGGCTATGCCTACCTGGCAAACTAAGCATGCTCAGCCAGACCACCCTCTGGGCTGTGCTTCTCTGGGCAGACTGCCACCTAGGCTGGAAGCATGATAGCTGTGTCTGTGGGGCTCTTTTGTTGGCTAATTAGCTGCTTGCAGCTCTGCCTGGGCTCATCTGAAGTTATTAGCACTAGTTATGACATCCAATTAACCCACAAAGGCAAGAGACTTCTCTCCGAGCTTGATAAACTGAGTATGGCCAGAAGGTTCAGCAGCTGCATGCCTTGTAGAAGTCATGTTTATGTTAGTTGAAGTCAAATGTCCTTTACACTGTTGGCAATTAGGATTTTACATGAAGGCAGTGATGCTATTGAGAAAAATGAGGATGTTGTGATTAGAAAAAAGTGATAACTCAGGGAGAGACTGGATAGGTAATTTAGTCCCCTAGTCTGAAGGGAGATGGGTTTAAATTTTATAGATTACACTGGTATCGATTTGAGAGGGATATTAAGGGACAGTATCTTTCTGGGTTATGTGGCATACTTCAGGAACAGTATTTTGCTGCCTGCATATGTTTAATGAGCATATTTTGCTGTCAAATCAGTCCCAGCAGCAAACTTCAGGAAATGGCTGCTCATTGATGAAACTCTAAATTGCTGCAAACTTTTATGTAGGATTTAAATTTTAAGTAGAATTTTTTTTGTCTTTATTACAGAAAAGAGGGAAGCACTGAACTTTGTTAGAGTTGTGTGAGTAGTTGGGTATACAGGGGAGAGGGCCTTGTTTCCTGACTTTAATCCTAGACTACCTACAATTGATTCCTTCCATTTCTTTGACTAATGGAGCTTTGCTGGTTCTAGCTGGAATCCAGCAAAGCAGTCGATAGCAAATCATTCTTTCTTAGCTTCCTATTGTGAATGCAGTTGTTATTGGTTTTAAGTCCAAGGTCTGGGATACATTTACAACAAATGCTGATTTAGTGGAATGTGTAAGGGGAGGAAGAAGTACAATACCTGCATATAAAAAATTCCTTAATGCTTTTAGGTTTATAGCACATATCTAACTTGATGCTGATATTTGTTATTAACAAATTAAAAAACTCATGTAGATCTGAATTATACTTCAGAATTGTTACTAGTTCTTTATTTCACAGATGACTGCAAAATTAAGCAGCATGGACTCTTTCCTCTCTTTGATTACTGCATAATCAGCATATATTTTCAGCCAAATTATTCCAAAGAAATTCAGTAGTATAGGCCAGGGTTTGCAAATCTTACTTTGTGCTGAGGATATGAGTTGCCACACACCAGCTGCAGAATAAGTCCAGCTGTCTGGTGTAGTGAAGTGATCTTACTGTGGGACACAAGTGTGATTCTTGGCACTTCTACTATGTGTTCTGACTATAATGGTGAATTAATGTACAAACACTTACTAAGCAAGGGAGGCAGCCAATTCACGTTGACTTCACAATGGGAATCCAGGAATGTCAAGATTTCTCCTTTAGCCATTGAGGCTCCTAGCAGCCTGGTACGAATGAGCCCTTCTCGTTTCTTGGTGCGCACAATCCTCACTTTGGCAAAACGAGCCATGTATTCCTCCAACTTCTCTTTCAAGTGTTCTGGAAAGGAGGGGAAAAGAAATGGGGCTATTAACTATGGAGGGCTAAAATAATGGATCTGCTGGTAAACAGGTGAACAACATGTGTCACTGTAGGCCCTCGGTGCCCTTTCATTCTTTATAGTTTCAAGTCCTTCATTATCTCCCATGAACCCTTTCTGAGATGGTTCATAAACTACAACTGTTCTTTGTTTTAACACACAGAGGAAGCCACTGACATTCTAGACCTTTTATTGCACAGTTGCTACTGGCAAGCTGCCATCCACTATATAATCATGGCTAAAACAACTGCAGGATGCTCATCTACTCTCTGGTTCTTGAAGCCCAAGGCCAGATGAACATTTTTGTCATGTGGTTTTAGAAATGCTGTCCTTCCCAAGTGGGTTTCTTGTTTCTATTAATTATACATGAAGATGCACAGAAAACAATTTTTAAAAATGAACTGTTTAATTGGCAGGACTAAGTTGTTTCTGAGGTTGGGAGATGAAATAAACTTGCAGGCTCTCTCAATAGTTGGCCGCCAGCTTGACGCAAACGGATGGCTGGCTTGCTAATAAAATTAAGCTGCAGATGTACAGCTGTTGATAGATTCCATACTCTTCTGTCTGTATAGCCTGACTGTGTTTGCATCACAAAACAGCACATTTGGGAACATTTTTTTTCTTCTAATTAAAAACAAACAATAGGAATGAAATTACCCACAGTTTTGCCTCCCCCTTAATACATCTACAAGAGGAAAAATAATCCATTGCCTTTGATGAAACACCTTGCCTTGTCAAGTTCATTATTACTCTGAATAAATGCAATAACTTTATTTGGCAGGGAAAAGAGGGCAGAAACACATAGCAGCTGATGACATGCTGTATTTATTGAAGCTCTTAGCTGCACACTAATTCTCTCTGAAACTGAGTTTGTAAGGTTATGATAGTCTCTGTGTGATGCAGATTCCTTTGAGATTTTTTGCCGTTTGGTGCCATTGGTCACTCTGGGCTTTGGATTGGCTTTGTCTTGTTTCTGACTGTAAGGCCTTCTCTACAAGTTACTTGTATCATGCAATTACCGGGCTAATTGTGTAAGTAATTTAGACCACTTACATGTGCAAATTAACTATCGTGCCTTAAAAAGGCCCAACCAGCTATAAAGTTATTTCTGGAAAATGTGAAATACTTTTTATAGCTGGTTTCTATCCATCTTGAATTTGCACATGTAGCAGGGTCTGGCCCTGTGGCTGGGGCTCCCAGCTGCTGGGATGTACCATGGGCAGCCAGGCCTGGGATCCCACAATGGAGGGGACTCTCAGCCCCAGCAGTACTCATGGCACCCAGGACTCACCCAGTAGTGCCCCACAGCTGGGAACTCTGGGTCCTGGCAGCCATGGTGCACTGCCATGGCTGCTAGTCCCATCAGCTACAGGACTTGCAGCTATGGGAGCTTGTTACTTGCTGGTACAGTGACTACACTAGTTCAGAGAATAAATAATTATAGGTACTGTGTGTTTAATTTTGAGATTTTGAAATGAAGAGAAATCAGAATATTGTTTGAGAGAATTTTTCTCTCTCACTTGACTATAAAAGTAGCAGAAGTAGGAAACAATTTCAGCAGTCAATTATAAAAATGGGTGACTGGTGCCTCCAGAGCCTGGGGGCGCACCAGATCACTGATGGCGGGGGAGGGGGTCCGATTGCCAAGCCAGTGGCCAAACCGGAAGTACGCTTCCAGTTCGCGGCTGGCACTTCCAGGGGGTGCACAGCCAATCACAGGGGGTTCACATGCACCCGTGTGCACCCCCTACACATTGCCAATGGTTATAAAATGGTTTTGAAGGTGAAGACAGACATCTCCAGAGTTACAGATAATAATGGTTCTCAAATCAGTATACAAATGCTTCTACTCTGCATTTCCTTTTGAAACTTATATTATGTCCTGGGATGCTCAGGAGCCCCAATCCTGCCATCCTGATGCCATAATAAGACAAAGGACAAAAGATGACCTCTAATCAAATGTCCCTATATATTCTAAGGTTATACAAATAGTAAAAATAGGAGCAGTGTTATTCTCAATAAATTGGCACCCCCGTGATTGAAAGTCCTGGAGAAGCCCTGTATCTATTTTCATGAAAGCCACAGAGTTTAGCTGGTTACAAGGGTAGACCCTACATAAAACACATTACAGTCTAAGTGGTCATAAAAGTGTGGGTTGCTCTGAAAAGGTCAGAAGAAATGCAAAACTATGATCCTCATGCTTTATAAATACATAGGACAAGCATTTGAGAATATTTTATAGCTTTTCAGTACAAATTCCAAAAGCCTCAGAAAGCTAAAATGTGCCACAGGTAGAGAGCATGAAAGACCAACGGTGCTGCTATACCTTGGGGCCCTGAAAGAGTAAGGAATTTTTTTAGGTAAAGTATGCCCAGAACATCCTAAAATTAAACAATACCCCATGCTAGAGAGGAAGAGGGAAAAACACAGCAGTCTTTCCCAATCAGAAGAAAGAAAAGCTCCTAAGGGAAAACTCCTTCCTGCCCCAAGTCTGGCGATTAGTTTAATCAGAAATGTGTGAATAGGACCCACCAACCAGTATTCAAGCAGTTTTCCAGTACAGACAGGAGAACCTTGCCCAAACTCCCATCTTTAGCGATGGTCAATATTCAGTGCCTCAGAAAAAGGCAAGGACCAAACTCGCCTCAAAATCTAACCATACAGAAAAACAGATGTCAAGCCATGAAGTAATACACTGAGAGCAGCAGGTTCTTCCTGCCCTCTTCAGAGGAGACTACCAGAAGCCCTGAAGCCATAAGCTATATAGTACAGTACAACTTGTATAGTAAGTGTACAAAAAATTCAGGAGAAGGAAATCCAATCCAGAACCAGATTTCATTTTCTCACTTTTCATTAATATATGCACTATATTTGCTATTCTTTAGTCATAAGGTACTATTCCTGAGCTGACAGATTCATTGGTGTTTTCCATCACTAATATCTATCAGCTTTGTTTTGTTTAAATTACTTTTCACCCATAACGTCAAAATAAACACCCCTATGACAGAGAACTCCTTGAGTTTCTCTACATGGAAAAGAGGAGGGGGAAAAATCTGGTTTTTACTATATCCATTTCAGTTTAATTTTATCTGAGTGCCCACAGGTTGCTGTTGATATTACCTCCTCAGAAAACCTTTGCATCAGACATATATATATACATATATATATGCTGAGAAGCCAGTAAGCTTACTGTTCAAACAAACACACATCCCTCAATGCCTATGCAAAACTATGACTTCTGATAAAGAAATTATAATGTGATGTGCAAAACAGAAAGCAAAATGAAATGAAATGGCCTTTAAATCTCCAGGAGACAACACATTCAGGCCATTTATTACCAATGGAATCGGTTCAGGCAAGCTTGCCATGACAATAAAACATTGAGGTAGGATGGCTTCATTTATATGCTGTGATATTACATAAATTTTACTTTCAGAGGCAGGCATGAGAGAGAGTCAGTATTTAAATTCTTCAGTGAGCAATAAATGGTGTACCTCAGATGTAAAAAAGTCAGTGCTCTTGTCACTAAAAATAGGGAGAAGATGCCTAATTTGTAATTTAAAAAGAAAATATATCATTCTTTCCTTCACAGTGCTGATTAAATGAGGTAATAAATCATGTGTCTGATACATGCCAGGCATCTGCCAGGGCAAGAGTTGGCGCAGAAGGTGACAAATAAAGAGTCATGCAGGAGCAGGAGTTTTATAGGCTGTCACTGGTATGACAAGTGATGATAAAGGGCAGCATTATGTCTCTTCTACTGATAGTCTATAAACAAATTTTCCATTGCAATTCCTTTGTGTGGCCCTCTTTATCTTCATTTAAAGCCTGAAGGAGGTGTCCCCCCCTCCGAAAGAACAGCTTTAAGACAATTGCTTTGTCCTAATAATTAAAGGTCTGCTCAAGCAGAATACCAAATTACTTAATTCAATACCTAAAAAGTAAACTTTGAATTGATGATTCCTCCTTTGCATTTTAAAAAAATGTAAACTTCCCTTTTGGGTGGATGGCTAAAATGGGTATGTTTTGTATGGGGGCTCCTGTCAACTGATTTGCTATGTTTATGCAACCTGCTTCACCAAGATCCCTTTCCAAGGGTGCCCAGAAAGAGGTTTAAGATAAGATACCACAGCTAATGAAACCTAGATGGAGAATGTTCTTTCTTAGTCTTTAGGACTGGTATAGCTCCAAAACATAGGGCAATGCCAGAAAAAAGTAAAGGAAGGGAAAAGATATGGAGGGGGCAGCTAAAGCCTATGTAGATGCTTTAG